GGCGAACCTGGATAAAGACTTCGCGTCGAATCTGGAGAAATTGGCCGAGAGTATACATCATGAGAAATTGAATGTGCTGGCAAAGGTGAGTGAGAGCTGGGTGGTGAATCTGTCGCGTTTTGGATGGTGGCGATACCGGTGATAATTTACGGTTATCTGTTAGGGGGGGACCGATAGTAGTCCCCGACCGAATGCCGTGTTTGGGCCACTGAAAATCGGTGCAAACCAGAGGGCTAGAGGGCGATTCACGGGCATCGGTCGATTGTCGATTGGTAGTAACTGAAGTTCGGTCGGTTTGCCGAGGCACCCGACCGAGGCAGCCCTTCCCTTCCGATTGCGATCGGGGGCCCCCGAAAGTCGGCCGGATTCCTCGGGAGCTCCCAAAATCAACCAAGGAGCCGTCGAAAATCGACCGAACTTGAGGCCCCGGAAAATCGAGCGAATTCTCCGGGGGGGGGGGGGGGGGGGGGGGGNGGGGGGGGGGGGGGAAGGAGGGGTTCCGGCGATTCAGTGACTACTGACCCAACTAGTTTGCATATCCCTGTGGTGATGATGTGAAATATTTAAGTATCAAGCCTCGTTATGGGTGCTCGTGGCCGTTGGAGCGCTGCTATTTCTGGTCGGCTTCCTGGGATGTTGTGGAGCGATGTGCGAAAGCACTCTACTGTTGAGTCTGGTAAGCTGGTTTTGTGGATTAGAGGAGACTTTTTAATAGAAATAAGAATTTGGGTAAAAATTTGGGTAATATGAAACCGATCGAGAATTTGGGTAAGTGTTTTCAGTACTTTGTTATTGTGCTGATCGTGACTGTAATTGAATTGGGCGCGCTCATTTTTGCGATGACAAGTAAAGGCGATTTCAACGATGCGCTTCAGGTAAGTATTTATATTATTAATTAATTAATTTATTTATTTATTTATTTATTTATTTATTATTTATTTTTTACTTTTTTATTAATCGTATTATTAGTATTGTTACTGTATAATGATATTGTATAATAGTAAAACTGATTGTAGAAATTGCTCAGTGAAGCGGCTAAAAAAGAGGATTTCCAAAAGAATATGAAACCGATTGAGGATTTATTCAATTGCTGTGGAGCGACACCGGAGACGAAGGGGAAGTTTTCGTGTGATCAGAGCAAGGTTATTATTTGTTATTTAAGTTTGATTGTTAAATAGTAATGAGTAAAATAGTAATGTATAGTATATAATATCGGTTTAGAGTATAAATAGCGTTGAAGTAGAGCTAATTGTAAGATAAATATGGATGGATTAGCGATAAATGTAACTAGGTATGTAATAGATAATATCCAAAGCGATGGTGATACTGATTTTAAAAGCTGGACTCAGCTTTTAAACTGGATTGGCAAGCAGCTTTAGGCTATCAAACGTTTATCAAACGTTGCTGGCCACAATGCCCGCAATGTTTCCGTGCGGCGCATTGTTTTAGCCTCAATTTACGCCTAAACCCCGCTGGCTGCTAGGCGAGCAGGCCAACCGAACACAATCGAGTAATTAATTAGTTGCCGTGAATACTTTGCATAATTAATCGTCGTAGCCAAATACCAATCCAATAAATAATCATAACTCTACAAAATAAATATTCCGCCGATCGCTCACAGCGATTGACGAGACAATCACTCGATATCCAAGTAATAGCTAATCCGATTTTAAAAGAGTAAGAGATATTTCAGCCCGACTGCTACACCGTCATCTCAGACTGGATTCAGTCGACCGGTCAGGTGGTTATAATAATCGCGTTCATTCTATTCGTTATCGAGCTCTTTGCACTGATATCGACGTGTATTTTGTGCCGTGCATTCCGTGAACGAACCATATATTATTATGCTTAAACTTTAAATGAGGAGGGGGCAATTGATTTTTTAATTTGAGGGATTAAAGGGATTTTTAAAGGATGAGACTATTTTGCTGTAAATTTTAAGAGATTGTGATGAGTAGCGTTGAATTCCGAGTCCCTAGTGGTCCCTAGTAATCGTGTCATCTGGAATATTTTTGCTATCCACGTCCCTTCCAGCTACCCTACTACCTTCCCGGGAATGAATGCACCCGAACCCAGAGATCTCTCAAAATCAGGGATTAGTTTCGCGATTAATTGATCTGAGAGGGATTTGGGATTGAGAGGTTATATTAGACTTGGAGAGCAGCATTAAATAGCAGTAGTAGGTACAGTAAATGTATCTTATTATTGTTATTCACTGTTGTTATAATTATATTTATACATGTACTATATTGTGTGTATATTAATCAGTTATTATTTTATTATTATTATTATTATTATTATATATAAATATATACCTATTGATGTTATATTTCGGATATAACTTTAAATAATTTCACTTGAGAGACTTCCGCAATATTTTTTTCGTTTGTTTGATGTTTAATCGCCTTAAGATGTGTTACGTTGAGTGGTTTTTAATTTCATTATATTGCTGATATGGTTGGTATTTTAATTGATATTATGGCACTTTTTTACTTCGGGGGGAGGTCGCACGCGAGC